GAGGAATGTCCCAGGCTGAGCTAGACAGTCTAGAAACAATCTGTCAGTTTTAGGGAACTAAAAGATGTCTGTGTGGCTGATACAGGAAGGGAGAAGGACAGGAAGTGTGCTGAGAGGAGTCTAGAAAGAATCATGCTAGGCCTTATAGGTCTTGGTAGGCACTTACATTTTATCTTAGGTTTAGTAGAACTCCACCTGAGTGTGTTAAGCAGGAAATGACATATGTCATGTGAAAAGGTGGTTCGGACAGCTCTGTGGAAAATGAATGTGAGTGTGATATTATGAAATATGTATTTGATTTTCCTTCCCTTTCTCTGGCAGACAAGTCCTAAGATCCTTAGACTTTCTAAAGTGATGTGTCTCCTTTTTGGTATGCTATTGAGTTGACTGAAGGCTGGGGCTTCTGGATGGCCTTGGTATAGGGGCTGGTTGCCAGTGGAGGCAACCACTAGAGGATTGGAACTTTCCCACCTTCACTTATGTTGTTACCAATGCCAGTATAATTAAGCTTTCATAAAAACCCAGAGGACTCGATCCTGAGAATTTTGGAATAGGCAAATCTGAGGAGATTCCCAGTAGGTCCCCTGCCTAAAGTGGGCCTGGAGTATCACTTTGCATATGGGGTATGTGCAAAGTGATCTTGCCCAAAGATCATTTCCATCTGTGTTCACATGTACCCCAATATAATTTCTAATAACCTGGTAAACATAAATGTTTCCCTAAGATCAATGAGCCCGTCTTGCAAATTAATTCAGTTTGACGAGGGGGTGTGGAAGCTCTGATTTGTAGATGGTTAGTCAGTGGAGTGGGGCGTGTACTTGGCATCTGCAATGAGGTTGAAGGGGGATGTAGTCTTTGGGACTGAGCCCTCAACTTAAGGATAATAGAACTGTCTCTATGGAGCATCAGACTTAAAGAACACTTAGTTGGTGCCTACTGAAAAATTGATTACTTGCTTAATTGGTTAGAAATCTTTTGAGATGATTGTCGAGTGAGAATGTAGGAAAAACTGAGTTTGCTTTTTCCTATATTTCCAGAAAGGGCTAGAGTAGAAGTTGGGACAGTTAGATTTTGCAGTAATTAAGAGTGACAGATGAGGGGCAATGCAAGTAGAGAAAAATGGGTAGATATTAAATATATTTTGTAAGTAGAATATTTGGAGTTGCTTAATGAGTTGGATATGGGGATACAGAGGTAGGAAGATGTTTCCCAGGGTTTTGGTTCAAATGTAACTGTGTTTCTTAACAAATACCAGACAGTATAAGCCTGTAAAATCTTTTCCCTCCCTCCTCTCTCTCTCTCTCTCTCTCTCTCTCTCTCTCACCCCCTTTCTCCTCCTTCCTTCCTTTGTGTTTGTGTGTATGTGTGTGTGTGTGTGTTACCAGTACTGGGGCTTGAACTCAGGACCTAGGTGCTGTGCCTTAGCTTTTTCTAGCCACAGCTCACTTCCAGATGTTTGATCATTAATTGGAGATAAGAGTCATGGTTTGTTGCCTAGGCTAGATTCAGTAATCAGATCTCAGCCTCCTGAGTAGCTTGGATTGCAGACATGAGCCAACTGGCACCAGGCAGTCTGTAAAATCTTGACTCTTTTTTTTTTTTGCTGGTCGTGGGGCTTGAACTCTGGGCCTGGGCACTATCCCACAGCTCTTCAGCTCAAGGTGAGTTCTCTACCACTTGGTGCTGAGGAATTGAACCCAGGGCCTCATGCATGCAAGGCAAGCAGTCTACCACTGAGCCACCTTCCCAACCCCTAAAATCCTGACTTTTCAGGAATGATCAAGTAGGATGGATGTTGAGTCTAGCCTTGTAGAAACAACAGAGGGAATCAGCTTACCCTTGGGTCTTTCTAGCTCAAAAGCTCATATGTAACAGAATCACCAATACAAAGGTTCTTGTCCCACCATTAAAGAGTTCAAGGGGAGTCCTTTGTCTCTTCCCTTAAGAGCCTCTGTAACTCCAGCTTGCCACTAGGGGGAGCATGGTCTGCATCCTGTGCTGGGTCTTTATAGCTCCCTAAATTTGCATTATTTTAGTGCAGTGACTCTTACCAGCTTTAGTACTCAGCCCAAACTCTTGACCCTTCATTCTGCCTAAAATTTAAAAAAAAAGCTGATATATAGGTGCTCAAAAATGTTCATTGGTATTACTGTTATACTGTGAATTTTACCTTATAGAAATGGATGGTATCACCTCTTGCTTCTCAGTATAGAGAGTAGGAAAATGGAATGCATACTTTCTGGACCCAAAAGGACAGAGAAACACTTGTTGGATGTGGGTGGAGGAAGAAGTTTGTGGATTTAATCATATTGTATTTTTCCTTCATCTTTTTTTTGTTGTTGGTTGTGGTAGTAGTGATGGTGGTGGTCATGGGGCTGGAACTCAGAGTTTGGGCACTGTCCCTCAGCTCTTTCATTCAAGGCTAGCACTCTATCACTTTGAGACACAGCTCCACTTCCAGTTTTCTGGTAGTTAATTGGAGATAAGAGTTTCACGGACTTTCCTACCCAGGCTGGCTTTGAATTGCAATCCTCAGATCTTAGCTTCTGAGTAGCTAGGATCACAGGCATGAGCCACCAGTGCCTGGCTTTGTCCTTCCATCCTGACTTCCTTTGTAGATTTGGAAGTCTAGGGCCTATGAGAGATGCTTGAACTGGGAATTAGATACGTTGGATATTTATAGTGAGTTGTTAGGCACATAGCCTTTAAAGTTTTGATTGCACCACTAAAATAATAGTGCCCACCACTTAGGATGTAGGCCAACCTGTCATTTCCTGTTAGATTTTATGACATTTCTTCTCCCTTAGTTTCTGGCATATTTATTTATGTTTTAAATTCAAGTCAATCAAAAACTTGTTTTGAGAATTGCACAGTATACAGAAGGTTAATCAGAATCATAAGGTTTCTGCAAGGGATTTCCGCCTTTAAGATTCTAGCATCCCTTTGGGGAACAATACTGGAAAATGCTGTCCTTGAGCTTCCATGTCTTCATCTAGTGGACAGACCAACTGTTAGTAGTGTTTTATGTTTGTTTGAAGCTGAGTGAGGTTTTTAAGCTCTAAGCCTGACTTACAGAGGTGCTTTGACAGAGAAGATTTCTTTTAGTGCTCTTCTCTGCCCTGCCTGGGTAATAGATTGTATCTGGTAGAAACCAGAAGGTTGCATGTTTTGCCCAATGGCAGGTGACTAGGTCAGGCACTGCCAAGGTCTTTGTATCCCTGCTCTGCCTGATGCTCTTGAAACTATACTGCTTAATGTATACCAAAGAGTTGGAAGGGTTGGTACTGTTTGTGTCACTTCCTGGTTTTGGTTGGAAAAACAAATCTGTTAAAATTGGTATAATAATAGTAATCCTGACTTTCGGGCCTACTGTGGTGATCTGTAGGGCTAAAATACATTTTGAAACAGTGTAAGGAGAGACAATGCATAGCTATAGGGGAGGACATTTTCCTTCCCATCCGTGTATCAGGATGCTCTACACCAAATAGATACTATCATAAAAGGCTTCAGGCTAGAAGAATTGCAGTCAGGCTTACCTTACCAGGACTCAGAGGAATGTCTCTGCCTTCCCCTGGGAATCCAGTCTTGTAATTCATAACTGATTATTAGAAAACTGGCTAGTTTTCAAGATCAGGTGGGAGTAAAGGTTAGTAGTAAGTATACTGGATTAGAGGCTACTTGACTAGCCTCTTGTCTTTAGTTCTTTGTCCAAGTAGCTGTATAACTGTGGATCTACATTGAATTTTTCTGGGCTTCTGTTTTCCCATCTATAAAATGCTCACAAACCTATCTGTTTGGTATATTCTATTTATTTATTTAGTGGTCTCGGGGCTTGAACTCTGGGCCTGGGCGCTGTCCCTGAGCTCTTCAGCTCAAGGCTAGTGCTTTATCACAAGCCACAGCCACAGCGCCACTTCCAGTTTTCTGAGTGGTTTATTGGAGCTAAGAGTCTTAGGACTTTCCTGCCCGGGCTGGCTTTGAACCGTGATCCTCAGATCTCAGCCTCCTAAGTAGCTAGGATAACAGGCGTGAGCCACTGGTGCCCGGCTTGTCCAGTATATTCTAAAAGGTTGTGAAGATGAAACAATAATACATATAAAAGAATGTTCAAGTATTGAGTGTCCACAGGGACTGTGAGGTCAGAGGGACTGTTGTGCTGTAGGTATTGTGCTAGCATTGGGACAGCCCACGGGAGGCCTGGTTTATAAGGTTTGAGCAGGGCAGAGAGAAGAAACTGTGTTTGTTTTTTGCCCTGTCTGTGACAATGGACTTGTCCTGGACACTCTTACTGTTCCTGACTTAGTGTGTTTTCTCTCCATTGCAGGAAGCTGAGGCTACCCTGACGTTGGTCCCACACTAGTATCATGGGTCCTTGTACTGGTTAAAGTCATCTCCAGGACCTGGACAGGCAGCAAGGTAAGCAGGGAGGCCAGTCCAGGCGAGCTCCCAGGATATGAGTGCATTTCCTTCTCAGCTTCTGCCTGGAAAATCCCAAGTGAACAAACAAGTCAAGGCAGTGCATCAGGGTCCCTCCTACCCATACTCCAGGACCCAGAGGAAGGGCTTGCTTCCCCTCCAAGTGTTCCAGCTAGTTCCCTCCTCCCCTGGCGGGGATTCTGAGAGAGAGAGAGAGAGAGAGAGAGAGAGAGAGAGAGAGAGAGAGAGAGAGACTGGTTGGGTCGGGGAGGAAAACATTCACTGTCTCTCCCTTCTTCCCTCTGAGCTGTTGAAGCAAGTTCCCAGGAACACTCCAGAGCCCCTGGTTGACTGGAAGGGAGGTAGGAGGAGTGGAATGTTTGCAAAGACTGAACTGATCAAAAGACAGTGCTGTTTCATGGAAGTCTCCTAGAACAGAGTGAGAGAATGTGTGTGTGTGCGCGCACGCGCGCTCTTGCTCCTGGTAGACTGAGAGCTTGCACAAGGCGCCGCCTGGGAGGACAGGGTCTCCATGACAACTGGCCTGGCCGGCTAGCAGCCCTCGGCTCACTTGGCTGGAAAGGAGCGCCACGAAAGGTCAGAGGAAGGAGTGGTGGGAAGCTTTTGCAGCAGGTACTGGGAGCTTAAGCCAGTGGATTTGGGGGCCCTGGGCTCCCTAACCAACTGAGGTGTGAGCCAGACTCTGCTGAAAATGGAGGGGGCAGGAAAGCACCGCGACTTTCAGGTAAGGTTAGCTTGGTGGGGAAGATCGCCTTTCTTTGCTGGCCTGGGACTGTTTTCTGGGAGGCCAGTGAGTGTGTGTTCTGTACTCTGCACTGGGTTTGGGGCTCTGCAATGATGTCATGCTCAAACAGTTGGATTCTATTAGCTTGAGGAGGAGGAGGAGGGAAACAGCTAGTTTTCTTGACTTTGCAGATCTTCGCTGATCTCACTCATGCTGAAGCTGAAGGTGTTTAGGCTTCGCTCTAGAAAGCATCATTTTCCTTTTTTAGTTAGCACTAAATCACCGGATATTTTTACAGGAAGACTCTTTTATAAAGAGAGAAAAAATGAGTTCTCATCACTGCAACACTGCTTGTAGTTCTGATATGGAAATTCCAGTGCCTTTTGTCTTTGGAGTGGCTTGGTTAATTCTAGTGGACACTGTTTTGTCTCTTGGTGCTGCTATGTCTGACCTCTAACAAAAATAGCAAATAAATAAATAACCCAAACAAAAACCTAATGAAATTCAGCAAGGAGCTTACAGTGAATCCTAAGTTCCTGTGGAACAGTTTCTTAGAACAGAGGCACTGTCATTGGGGTATCTGAGCTGAGACCTTGCTCTCTCTGCCAGGTAGTTTGATAAGAAGTAAACAGACCCCTCTCATGAATGAGGTTGGTCTCAGGCTTTCCTGAGTTGTCTGGGAGAAGCTGTCCTGTTGGGGAGCCTAAGAGGTGTCTCATCTAGATGTTGCAGAGGGAATCTCCTAATGTGGTAGTTTTTAGCAGCTAGGGAGCACCAGGTGCTGGGAGTATGCTGGGTGGATTGCTTTGGTTAAAACTTTATCTAATCCTCAGGGCATACAGTTTCCATACTGTGTACTCCTATTTTGCTTATCCTAAATTGTGGTAAAACTCATCCAGATCTAGAGGGAGTAGTGTGTGGTTGAGCTCAGTGTGTCTTAGTAGCAGCTTCTTCTAGAAAGGCAGCTCTATCGTTGTTGAGAGAGTTGGGCCGTCTGTAAAATTATGAAGAGCATGAATGCTGTAGACAGAGCAGAGACTCATGAGGAGATGTGTTTCTCCTTCAGTCATGTTACATCTTAAGCTTATATTTGGCTACAGGGACTTTTTTTAGTGGAGGGAACAGCTGGGGTCCTGGCTCTTCAGTTTTTCTTCTTGAACTTTCTGAACAGAATGTCTTTTGTGTTCTGGCAAACAATGAGGGGGCCTTCTGATTAACTTCGGGTCAGCTTGCCAATGCAAGCACTGGCCCTGTCCCCGATTCTGGCTGCTTGAATGTATACATATGTGTCTCAGTGTTGTGGTCTGAATCTCCAAAGCTCAGTAGCTCTAGACCTAAGATAAGCCACTTCTAAAGTTAAGGTGTATCCCCTTACTAGACTATTGGGATCCTTTGCTTGAAACCTGTGTTTTGCTTGAGGAATGTGGCCTGATACTGTGTGTGGGGGATATATGATAAAGGAAGTCTGTGAACCCAGTGGTTCATTTTAGTGGCAATATAACTTGTAGCATCTCAGGCCTTTTCCTGGACTCAAGAGAATGTGCCCAGAGCTACTCCTCTTTTGCCATTTCTGCATGTGTGAAAAGAACTAGCCATGGCCTTTAAGGAGCTGATGTTCTTTCTTTTGATATTGCAGTGAGAATAATAAATTTGGGCTAAGAAGATAGGACTCAATCTGGAGCCTGTGGCTTATGTCTGTAATCCTAGCAACTCATGAGGTTGAGATCTGACGATCTCAATTCAAAACCAGTCAAGGTGGGAAAGTCTGTGAGACTCCTATCTCCATTTAACCACCAAAAAGCTGGAAGTGGAACTGTAGCTCAAGTGGTGGATGCTAGCCTTGAGCAAAAAAAGTTAGGGACAGTGACCAGGGCCCTGAGTTCAAGGACTGGCAAGCACACACACATACACACACACACACGGTAGGAAGGAAGGGAGAGAGAAAGGAAGGAAGAGAGAGAGAGAGAGAGAAAGCAAGCAAGCAAGAAAGGAAGGAAGGAAGGAAGGAAGGAAGGAAGGAAGGAAGGAAGAAGATAAGCATCTATGGCCAGGTTTTGCTGCTTGTCACTTGAGATGGATGTCAAGCAAGTCCCTGGACTATACAAACTTCAGATAAAATAGAAATAATAATAAGACCTTCTTCACAGGACTATGTATGGGATAGTGTCCATGAAAGTAGTTGTAAGTGAATCAAATTGTAAATAGCATAATATGTTATGAACTGAAGTTTGACAACTCTCTTCTGGAAAGTCACTTTGCCTCTTTGTTCTGGTTCCTCCATTTATAAAATGTCTTCTACTTTTCTGCATTTGTAAATCAAAATGAGAAAAACCTTAAAAAGTCTTCTTTGGAAAAGAAGTCTTCTTTGAGATGGTTAACAAATAGTGCTTTGTTTGGGTTGGGAAGTTTAATACCAGTGTTCACTATAGACATTTGAGCTTCATAAATAATCCTTCAGAGAGGAAGCTTTCTGTAGATCATTCGGCTTGTATTTTAGTGCAGGAGGAATTCCCAGAGAAGCTCAACTTTTCCAGTGTCCCATAGCTCCCTGTAGTCATGGTGCCATACATTTTAGTTGTTGGAAGAGAGTCTGCTAGTGCCGACCCTGGTTCTCTCATCCTGCTCAGATCTAGAGGGGGAATTGTCTGGGGTGGGCAGAGGGGCCTTTTGCTCGACTCTGGGATTGAAAGGTAAGTTTCTAATTGACAGGAAAGAGTATGACTCTGAAAACTTCCTTAAGGGTTGGGCAGCTCTTTCAGGAACTTGTAAGGCTATATAGCTTAGGGGAAAACCATAAAGAAAAACAAGGAAGTAGGAATTCCAAGGGCAGATACTTGATATGTCATAGGATGGTGCCAAGGAATGGAATAACAGGGAAGGGGGGACTCTAGGCAAGGATGTCCCACGCCTGTCCTCAGTGCTGTCTCTCCTGTAGCCTCTGCCTCTCCCATCGGACAGGGAAAAACCTTTTGGCCCCACCTGAGCAGACTCAGGATAGGGTAAGGATTTTTGTTCTTTTAATTTGTTAATGAAATAATCGAGCTCCCTTCTAATGTGAGTCACAACACACAGCCGCCTCTAAGGGCTGAAGGAGAAGTTGTCTTCAGCTTAGGTCAGGCTGCAGCTGTTCCCCACTCCCCATCAGTGTAGCTTCCCAGAGCTGACTCACAAATTGGATCCCTCTAATGTTCCTTAAGAATTAAAAAGTAACTTTCCTAGTTTCGCTCCTTCTCTCTCCCCTTCCTCCGCTCCCCTTTCCTGTACACAGTCCCCTTGGGCTCCCTTTCTCTAAAATGTGAAAGATTGGTCACCCAAAGAAATGGAAACTTTGAAATATCTTGGGGGAACGGGCCAAGGGCATTCTTTGGTTCTGCTGGTATAGTCCCTCTTTTCCCTGGGAGAAAGGACTGGGTGAGCAGTTTGAGGGAGGCTCTTCAAATTTGAAGTAGCATGGCCTCATTACTGGCCTGAACCTAAAGACTGTGTCCTACTCCCCACTGCATCTGGATTCTGAGATCTGCTCTGGGCAGGTGGCCCAGTGCCTAATGGGGGTAAGAGGGTCTGAGTACCTGTGGGAAAGTGGCCTGTTAACAATTACTGCCTTGGTAGAGCACTAGCCTTGAGCTGAAGAGCTTGAGGGACAGCGCTCAGGCCCAGAGTTCAAGCCCCACGACCGACAAAAACAAACACACACACACAATAAAGCAACAACAACAACAACAATTACTGCCTTGGGGGCTGGGATGTAGCTCAGTGGCAAAGCACTTGCCTAGCAAGTGCAAAGTCCTGGGTTCGATCCCCAGTACCAAAAAAGAAAAGACAAAAAACAATAATACAGTTAAAAAAAAAACCCCAAACAATTACTGCCTTGAGTGACTCTTTTTTATGGCGGGGGGGTGGGAGATCTGGTCGTGGGGCCTGAACTCTGGGCTTGGGCACTGTCCCTCAGCTCTTTAGCTCAAGGCTAGCGCTCTACCACTTGAGCCACAGCGCCACTTCTAGCTTTTTTCTTTTTGCTTATGTGGTGCTGAGGAATTGAACTCAGGGCCTCAGGCATGCAAGGCAAGCGCTCTACCACTGAGCCACCTTCTCAGCCCCCTTGGTTGACTCTGATTTCTATTGTTAGACCTAGGGAAGTTTGCTGAAGGGGCCAAGTAAGGTTAACATGTATCAGCCTGAAGTGGGGCAGCAGCAGCCCTTGGCCTGTCTTCTGTGCTTCTGCCTTGGATGGGTGTTGGGAGGCTGGGGAAGGAAAAGCTGCAGGCAGACAGTCATTGAGCAGGACCATAGAAAATAGGGAAGGGGGCAGGAAGGTGTGGGTGTGCACGCACATGCATGTGCTTGCACACATATATACTATCTGGCATATAAGGCAAAGTTTTTTTTTTTTTTTGTCTGTCGTGGATCTTGAATGCTGGGCCTGGGCATTGTCCCTCAGCTCTTCAGCTCAAGGCTAGCACTCTACCACTTGAGCCACAGCATCACTTCCGGCTTTTTCTGTTTATTGGTGCTGAGGAGTCAAACCAAGGGCCTCGTGCATGTGAGGCAAGCACTCTACCACTGAGCCACCTTCCCAGCCTGAGATTTCTTTTTAAAGTTTGTGAGAAAACTTGCTTAGTGTGTATCTTCTTCTGGGGTAGAGAGACTGTTGATCCCTTTATGCTGGTGGGGAAATACTGTGTGCTTCATCTCAGTGGGTAGGTATGTCTTAGCTGAACATGTCACACAAATTGTGCTGATAGAAAAATCTCTATTTCTAGTTCTAAGCCCTAGAAAACTGTGTGTGTGTGTGTGTGTGTGTGTGTGTGTGTGCCTGTGTTTGTGTGCATGTGCATGTGTGTTTTGAGAGGGAAAGGAAGATGTTAACTATCTTATTGAAGAATTCCTCTAAAGATCTCTTCTCTTGTTTTTATTGGCTCTGATAAAATGAATATACTGTGCTTTGGGGCTGTTGAAACTATCACAGTACTTGTCTCATCTGAAAACTGTCTGAATATTTG